TGAGCTATTTTGTCCACAACTACTAGATAGAGGACAGTTGAAGTGGTCCAGCTCGTCTTGAGTGAACGTGTAATTATTTTTCAGTTGTTCTGGGAAGAACACTAAGTATGCGCATCGTTTCACACTCTAATCAGAGTTAATATTTCACCGGTTAAGTAAAATGTAGAAGCCTCGCCACCCTACCGACCCTCTTCCCTTCCCCTGCTGTGGTTGTCGTATGCTACCTTCACAGGACTTGAGACTGCGGTATGCTCTTATTTTTTTTTTAATATATTGATTTTTTTTTTTTTTTTTTTACAGAGAGCAAGGGAGAGGGACAGAGAGTTAGAAACATCAATGAGAGAGAAACATCGATCAGCTGCCTCCTGCACACGCCCTACTGGGGATGTGCCCGCAACCAAGGTACATGCCCTTGACCAGAATCGAACCTGGGACCCTTGAGTCCCCAGGCGGACGCTCTATCCACCGAGCCAAACCAGTTAGGGCTGCAGTAAGCTCTTTTTTTCCTTCAAGTCTCCAAGTGACGGAGAAAGAAGCCATCACGTTGATCCAGATCCCTACCATTTATCTCTTGCTCTTCCTTTGTTCCTACGGTTCCCAGCTTCCCTCTCGCGTCATAAAGTGCGGTGTTGCCTTAGCTGGAGTTTTCCTCAAAGCAGAGCGTGAGACAAGGGCTTGCATGCTTTGGCCAATGATCGCAAGGGGCAGTTGCGATTGACAAGGAGGAAACACCATTCCGAGGAATATTAAGTTGATCGCTGCTGTGTGTCGCCTGGGTGTGATCCCACTGGGGACCCCGTGGGGAAGTGTGCAGTGCGCCTTTGTTGGGAGGTGGGAGAGAGGAGAACGCGTTCACGTCCTAGTTCCTGTCTTTCCACTGGTCAAGGGTTGCTCCATGGGGTGGTAACTCTAGGACTGTGGGCTGTAGTAGGACATCCCTGTTTGCCCACGTATGTAAAGGCTGAATGGGGCCCACAGACGTTTCCTAGGGGGCAGCAGAGAGTACCCTGGTGGAGAGCAGGGCTGTTTTCCATGCCGTGTGCAGAGCTCACCCAATAAAACCTGAAACAGTGCTCTGGAGCTTTTCCCATCCCAGTATGCAGACACCCCCCCTCCCCCCTCCCCTCCCCGCAATGCTGACTTTGCAGTTCCTTCCATTGAGAGGAGGGTCCTATTTTTCCATCACTCGAAGCAGGTGCGCGCCTTGCTTTGACCAAGGAGACATTGGCGAGCGTGATGCGAGCAAAGGTAAAGACGGTGTGCCTCCCGGGACGTGCCCTTTCTCTTGCTACTTTTAGAACCCAGTAACCATGCTCACAAGCTCAGACTAGCCTGTGGGAGCATGAGAAAGACATGGCTAAGGCATTTGATTTTCCAGCTGATGCTGAGCCAATTGCCAGGCATGCGCGTGAAAATGTTGCGGACCTTCAGTTTCAGGTGAGTCAGTCCAGACCAGAAACACTGCTCAGCCGGTTCCCAGAACCAGGAGCAAGCGGAGGGGTGCTTGAGAGGTGGTACGCCGACACAGCTGCGGGCATTGTGGGGACTGCTAGAACCAGCTGTGCCCGACGTGAGTACCCACGGACCCTTGTGGGTCATCATGTCCTCCTTGTTTTGGGTTAAACTAGATTGAATCTGGTCCCTGTCACTCGAAACAAAAAGGGCCCTTGATGGTCCAAGATTGAATGGGCTGTGCAAACAAATGGGCAAGAACGATGGAGACCTTGACCGGTGAGTGGCTGGTCGGCTTGGCCATGGGGTCTAGGATGGGATAGAAAAGGAAATGACATCCAGAACGGAGCGGAGAGGTGAGCGTCAGTAGTTCAAGGTCCTTCCACCTTGAAATTCTAGGGTTTCCTTCTTGGAATCTGCTCTTGGAACTGGTTCAGATTCATTGGTTTCCTCCTGATCTCCCACGGAAATGCTGAACTCGTGTTATCTCCCACCAGCCCGTTTTCCACAGGCACCCAGAAGGCCGCAGAGCTGTGAACACGCTCCTGTTTAAAGGTAGGCAAACTAGGGAGACCCGTCCCTGACCAGCATCAGAATTGATCATATATCTAGGCAAGACAAAGCTCAGTTGGGCCCTGGCTGGTTTGGATCAGTGGATAGAGCGTCGGCCTGGGGACTGAAGGGTCCTGGGTTTGGTTCCCGTCAAGGGCACATGCCCGGGTTGCTGGCTCGATCCCCTGTGAGGGGCATGCAGGAGGCAGCCGATCAGTGATTCTCTCATCATTGTTGTTTCTGTCTCTCTCTACCTCTCCCTTCCTCTCTGAAATCAACAAAAATATATTAAAAAAAAAAACACAACAAAACTCAGTTGGGCTCATGGATCACAGGAGCTTTTTATATCTGGGGTGCCAGGGAAGAAAGCTGCGTCCAGTCTTAAGCTTACTCAAAGGACAGAAACTTACTATGATTATTATTATGTTTATTTCTAATAAATGCAATATTTGGTTCTTCATTAGGTTTTTTTTCCAATTTTGTTACAAATTTGGGTGCAGCATAGAGCGGTATGCTATTTATTGTACATCCTTAAATTCCAAAATAAATGGTTTTCAGAATTAAGTAGGGAAAAGAATAAGCAAATGGCCCTAGCTGGTTTGGCTCAGTGAATAGAGCATCGGCCTGCGGACTGAAGGGTCTCGGGTTCGATTCCAGGCAAGGGCACATGCCCGGGTTGAGCACTCGATCCCCATATCAATGATTCATCATCGATGTTTCTATCTCTCCTTCTCCCTTCCTCTCTTGAAATCAATAAAAATATTTTTAAATGACTCTTTAAAAAAAAAGGAATAAGCAAATGTAATACTGTTACTCATTAATCACGTTTACAACATTTATCACATTTAACATGAGGACCAAGATCCCACCGAGCAATACAAAAGAAACACTCATTCTGGTAAATGCCTTTGGTAGCACAAACACATGCAGCTACATCGGGGCATCCTGGTTCATCTGGTTGGTAAAGGGGATCCGTGGGGTAGTACATTTTACATGGGGGTGTAGGCCACGTAGACAGGACATCAGGTGGACACCCCACTGCAAGTGGCCTGGAGTATAGGGGCGAGGGTTTGCACTTCCTTCTCAAGGTCACAGCTCAGTGATGGTTTGAAAGCCCAGGACCAATATGATCCCATCCCTACAGTGAGTCTGGCAATGTGTGCGGGCACAGGGAGTGGAGGAGCCAGAGGAGGGAGGTGTTATAACCACCTGCGGATGGGGGGGTGGGGGTGGGGGTGAGGCAGCAGAAGGCTCCAGGTGGGGGC